CCCTAGAGGGGTTCTGATCGGAGGCCAATCAGAAGACCCCTAGAGGGGTTCTGTCATCAGAAGACCCCTGAGGGCTTCTTAAGGGGTCTTTACCCTAAGGAATATTAACTCCTTAAGGGGGAAGTCCCTTTATAAAGGGTTGCAAATCCCTTGGGTTTTCCGGTGTGGGAAATTAACACTAGAAACCCATCCTTTTTCCCAGTTTTTCCATTCTAACGGGTAAACTTCGAAAAGCGATTTCTCATTCACCCGTTATCCGTTTTGAGCGTACCATATATCAAATTGTAGCCCTTAACAAGGACAATCCGAAACCACTTTGACCCGACCCAAATCGGAAGTGGACCCCACTCAAAAAATTGCCCCAAAATAGCCATTTAATGCAATTTTTCACACATTTTTCCAACAAAACTTTCTCGAGGCGTGGTTAATATCTTGTGAGGATCAACTGGGACCATAATTACTACGTATTTCCCTATAGATACGTGGGAAGCCTACCCAAATGGAACCAATAAAAACAATCCGGGCACCACTTTGTTTGCTCTCCCATGCTGTTTCATTTTTAGGTCTGCACCAAGAAACAATATCATCAAAACATACTTTATATGGATGCATATATACATAAAGAGGAGATGCCTTATAGACTTATAGATCTCGAAGAGCATAAATGTTGCAGTGTGAACTTTCTTGAAGTAAAATCAGAGAATGGGAAAGAAAGAAAACCGATTGATTTATTGAAGGAAGTAAGAAGGTATTTATACCATTAGTTAGTCAACATTTAAGTTCTAACAACTAACAAACTATTATGACTAATAGTTTGACTAACGGTGTGAAACTAACTGACTAGTAATTAACTATATCAGCTGATATCTTCACATCCCCTCCTCAAGTTGGACTTTGGCTTGTTGAAATGAGTCCCAACTTGGAAACAAATAGCTGATGATGCTTTGCTCCTAGAGCCTTTGTGAAAACATCTGCAGGTTGAGAACTAGACGATATATATCTAGGTTCCAAGAGCCCTTCCTGAAATCTTTCTCTCACATAATGACAATCAATCCTTAGGTGCTTTGTTTTGTCATGGAAAACAGGATTTTGGACTATGTGTTGGGCAGCCATATTGTCACAATATAGTGAAATAGGTTTTGGAATCTCATGCTGCAATTATGTAAACAACCCATCAAGCCAAACAACTTCTGCTGCGGTATAACTCATACTTCTGTATTCAGATTCTGCAGTTGACTTGCTTACTGTCTTTTGTTTCTTTGTTTTCCAGGAAATGAGAGAGTTTCCCAAGAAGATACAATAACCAGATAGGGATCTTCCTGTCAAGAAACATGATCCCCAATCAGCATCACAGAAGGCAGATAATTCAAGTGATGAATGTGTTGGATAGAAGAGACCAAGATTGATGGTGTGCTTAAGATAACGAGCAAGGAATAATGTTGCTTGCATATGACTTATTCTTGGTTCACTCATGAACTGACTTAGTTGTTGTACAATATAGGAAATGTCTGGTCTTGTCAAATTTAGGTATAAAAACCTTCCAATTAGTCTCCTATATTGTTCTGGTTCATGAAGTGTCTCACTTGTATCAGCAGATAGCTTTAGTACAGTAGGCATAAGAAATTGTGCAGGCTTACAATCACTCATCTTGATGTCATGTAAAATATCCAGAATGTATTTTCTTTGATTAAGGATGATACCTTGTTCGTTTCTTGCCACTTCTATTCCCAAGAAATAACGAAGCATACCAAGATCTTTGATGGTAAATGCTTCATGTAATGCACTTTTTGTCTTATCAATTTGTTCCTTTGAATTTCCAATAATCAATAAATCATCCACATATGCCAGTAAAACTGTGAATGTGTTTGATTCTGATTTGATGAACAATGAGTAATCTTGCTTTGACTGTTGGAATCCCAGTTGAAGTAGAAATTTTGTGAGCTCAAGATTCCATTGTCTTGATGCTTGTTTTAATCCATATAAGGATCTTTTAAGCTTGCACACTTGTCCAGCTTCTGCCTTATGATATCCTTCTGGAATTTGCATGTAAACTTCTTCATCAATGAATCCATGCAAAAATGCATTATTTATGTCTAATTGATGTATCATCCAACCCTTTGCTGCTGCTAAGGCAATTACTGCACGTACCGTGGTAAATTTTGCTACTGGACTGAAGGTGTGTTTAAAGTCTTTTCCTTTGGTTTGATTATAGCCTTTTGCTACTAATCTTGCTTTAAACCGCTCAACAGTTCCATCTGGCCTGAATTTTATTTTATACACCCATTTAGCTCCAATAGCTTTCTTTCCTTCTGACAGCGAGGTCAATTCCCATGTTTGATTCATCTCAAGTGCCTCAAGCTCCTGCTCCATTGCTTTCACCCATTTTTCATCTTCCTTAGCTTCTTTATAGGAAACTGATTCATGGATTGACAACACATTTGCAAGTGAGGCTACATATTCTTCTGTAAAGTTTTGTAAGGTTGAACAAATCATGTTTGCCAAATGTGAGTTGTTATCAATCCTAGTTGTTGTAGATGGAACCAATGATCTTGGTATATCTTTGCAAACATAGTCTTGCAGCCTGTGAGGTATGTTCCTGGTCCTTGTAGACCTTCTTTGAGAGATGAAAGTTTCAGAATCATTTGATTCAGGTACTCCAGAATTGTTTATTGGAGGTTCTTCTTGAGATGAATAATGGTCTTCTGTTTGAGTAGTCTCTCTTGGTGGTTTATCCAAAATCAATCCAGATGGATTAATGATGGGAATATTAGCTGATTCTTCAACTTGTGTATGCTTGAAAGGAAAAATATCTTCCTTGAACACAATGTCCCTGCTTACAGTTATTCTTTTGTATTCAAGATCGTAAACTTTATATCCTTTCTGCCCAAAAGGATATCCAACCATGATGCATTTGTAGGCTCTAGGAGATAACTTATCTGTATCCTTTGTAGCAGCAAAACAAAGGCATCCAAATACTCTTAATGTCTCATAGTTTGGTTGTCTTTTAAACATGACTTCATAAGGAGATTTCCATTTAAGAATGGAAGAAGGCATAAGATTTATTAGATGTGTGGCAGTAAGCATACATTCTCCCCAGAAGGACTTTGATAAATTTGCTTGAATCCTTAAAGCTCTTGCAGTATCTAAGAGATGTCTGTGCTTCCTTTCAACTCTTCCATTTTGTTGTGGATTCCCAGGAATGCTTCTTTGATGAACTATCCCTTTCTCATCAAAAAACTTTGTGCAAGTAGACTGAACTATTTCAGTTCCATTATCAGACCTGATTATCTTTATCTTCTCCTTAAATTGAGTTTCCACATAAGCAACAAAATTATGGATGATATTGGGAACTTCAGTTTTGTCTCTTAACAGATATGTCCAAGTATCCTACTACAATCATCAAGTATGGTCAGAAAATATGAGGCTCCAGTTATAGATTTCAACTTATAGGGTCCCCATAGATCTATATGTATCAATTCAAAAATTTTGGAAGCATTTGAAACACTTCTTTCAAAAGGCAACTTATGATGTTTTGCCATGATACAAGTTTCACAAAACAGACTATGTTCATTACTTCCAAATCCAATATGCTGTAATTTTGACAAGGAAGAATGAGAATGACCAAGTCTATTATGTAATAACAACAGAGTATTGGAAGCTATAAATGACTTATTAGATAAACAATGTGATTTCCCATCACTATTTTTATTGATGATAAAGGAGGAAGAGTCAGCTTCATCTGCCCTTTTATTTGCTTCAAAGATGTACAGTTGTAACACGGTAACACCCCAATTTTTATGAGCTAGTTATTTTAATTATTTCTCATTATTATTTATTTTAGTCAATTGAATAAGTTTCTTCAATGAACAATGTGATATATTAGTAAACATGTTTTTTTGGCAGGTAACGTGGACCGGTAAGCTCATTATAATTTTAATCGATGAAATAAATACTATTTTAATATCTATTTAGTATATTATTGAAAGGGAACATATTATTATTTAGTTGGGTCACAAGTATTTTCTTAGAAGACTAAGAGACCCAAATTAGTTATTTTAGCCCAAATAAGTATCTTTTTATAATAAAATCCCTAAGATTAATGCTATTATACGTATACGTCTAAGACCGTAGAAAGTAACCTGCGTCTTCCCTAACCTTGATGGCGGCTCCTCTCGGGTGTTCTCTCCCAAGACTTTACCTCACTTTCAAATCTGTGTCTTTGAGTCTCTTGATTTTGAACCCTGGTAAGTTGAAATTTCCATGTGTATTCTATCTACTTATATGGTTCTATCAGTATGGTTTAGAGGCACGAGTTTCCGTAAGGATTCTATCATTCTATTGGTCAGGTTAACAGAGCTCCGATTTAGCTAAGTTGATTTGTTTATCCTGGTGTCAGACTGATTTTGGAAGACTCACACATAGATAATAGTGTATAGGTTTCCTTGTAAATTTATTACATTCCCACAATTTTGTTCTTTCAATTGAATTCGCTTTTTTTAAAAATTGTTTTACCAAGTGATGTTTCTACTGTGAGCAGCCCATAATTTAAAATCTCCCATAGAGTTCCTAACCTTTCCTTCCAGAAGCAAGTTAAGTAGGTACTACGTATTTCTTTTAACCTCAACAGAAGTCTTACAAGACTAAAATACTGTTTTTAAGGTTCTTATCATGGACATGTAGTCAAAATAGTAATTCTTCTCGTGAAGTAATCTCAGTTGAGTGTGTTCCATAGTAAGCCTGAGATTTAGAAGATTCAATTTTGTTCTTATTGGGTTTAAATCAGTTAAGCGGCCTACTTAGTTTGATTCAAAACATGAGCAGCAATTTAGTCTCATACGAAAGTCGGTTTCAGAGATTTACTAATGGATTTTTGAATTTCACAAGTGCAGCCACATTTTATTTGTTTTACTGTTGAATGGGGTCTGCTTTATACATATAATTTTTATAGTAGATGTCCTGAGGCAAATCTGACTAGTGGCTGCTGCTAATTTCAGTTAAAAGAAAATCAACCAGTTAATTTTATATATTCTTTTTTTTTGGATGAAATGTAAATATGTATTAACACTCAAAGAAAACCTATACATCAAAGGGTTCTAGATCTCCTAAAACCCCCCCACCCCTACCTAGTGTAGGGGTTAAAGGAGGTTTTAATTTGATCTATCAGAGTTCAAAATCAAATAGGCCTTAGTACATAATACCAAGCTGCCCCTAACAAAAATACATCGGTGCTGCCCAAAATGCACGCACACAGATCATAGTAGTTCAGGTCAAGCTAAGGACCAAAAGTGCAAAAACTTCAAAAAATTGCCATGTGCAACTTCGTGAATGGCGCATCCTGCTCAACTGTAAGGTGGCCTCCCAGACTCAAAACTTGATCAAGTCATGTGGGTACAAGGAAAACAATATCTTATACACCACATGTTTAATCTTCGAAATAACTTCCTCTTCGGTCTTCACGCAGTCATCAAATCTACAAGCGTTTCTTGCCCGCCATATGTGATATGCTGCGGCGCAAAAGGCGAGTCGGACTGCTTTGGCCTTCAGGGTTGAGCCTTTATGCTTCTTGAGAATCCACTTGACCGAACTTTGCAGGGTGGTGATCTGGTTGTCCATGCCCATCCATTCCCTAATCTTTCTCCATATCCTGCAAGTGAAAGGACAAAGAAAAAATAGGTGTGGCATTGTTTCCAAGTCAGCCTTGCAAAGGTCACATCTATTAACAATATGCAAATATCCAAGGCTATCCTGGGTAGGTAGCCTATTTCTAAATGCGAGCCAAGTCATGAAAGAGAACCTAGGGGGTATATAAGATTTCCAAATAAAGCTCATCCACACCCTAACCGTTCCTTTAATCCTCAATAATTCATAAACTTTGCTAGAAATTAGTTTGCCATTAACAGATCTAGAGGCTAGCCCAAGGATGGTATCATTACGATTATTAAAACAGCCCCTAATCTTGTCCCTAATTGTTGCCAGACTCTTCATGAAATTGGAATCACGGCTATGTGGGATAAAATCCCACACATTTTTACCATTAAGGTAAATGCCATTTATCCACTTTACCCACAAGGTGTCTTTCTTAAGATGAACATCCCAAGGTGTTCGGGAAAGTAGGGCTTGATTCCATATCTTTGCATTCCGTATGCCAAGCCCCCCTTCCTTCTTAGGGAGACAAATATCGTCCCACGCCACCTTGGCGTACTTCCCTCCCCAAAGGAAAATTCGGCAAATGGATACAATACGGTCCAAAATCGTTTGCGGCATGGGGAAGACTTGGAGCCAAAACGATTGGACCCCTTGGATCACCGATCGTATTAGCTCAATCTTTCCAGCATACGAAATGGATTTCGTATTCCATGTGATGGATTATAGGGATCCAAACATACATAATTAGGAGAGATTTGAGCAAGAGAGGTGAGGAAGAAGATGAATAGTATTGAATTATGGAATTATGACTTAGGGTTACAAGAAGCTCCAAGAGGAGTATAAATAGGAAAATCCGGGTCTGGGCCTCTAATATGGGCCCGACAGACCCGGTTACATAAATGGACTGATATAAAAAAGGCTAATCTAGTGGATACAATTATACAAATACAAATCGGACAGTACAATAATATAAATGATATCGGTGAAGCGTGTGTGGGCCACTGTCCGGGCCCAATAGTCGTGATACCCGGGAGTCTGAGTCTATATACTCTATCAGGAGTCCCCCACTCTCTGAGTCGAGAGTACTCGAGGCGAAAGAGAGTAGAACTGTGTGCTGATATGTCATCGTTTGGTGAGTAAACTTCGTTAAAAATTTGGAATTTCTGCTTCTTTGGTTAACGGTGGTGCTACCCCCGCTCTTCCAGTCCCCCACTCCTTGAGGTGAATGTCATGAGGTGAAGAGGAGTTGAGTAGTGCATGTCTCGTGATGATGTCTTCAATAGGGGGCCGAGGGTCGACACCTTTTGATCCACAATGGGGAGATGCCTCGTTAAAAACCTCATTAGGAAAAAACCCTATGGGAAAAAATCCTAATGAGGGAAAAAGAGTACATCAGATGCCCCCAAAATGAAGCAAAAAGGGGTGAACCTTTCGGCCTAGGCACAGAGCTGCAACGGTGTCCGTCTACTGAGGGGATGGCCGAGACCAGTCTCTCGATGTGAGTAGCTCGGCATGCTAAGTAGTCCTGGTCATCATTTAATTGCACCTATGCATTCAAATAAATTTGTTATAATTTCTTGAGCTTTCAATTCGTTATTGGATTTGGGCCTACATTAAATGGCCTCAAAATTTCAAGCTGGAGCTCAAATCATGTTTCTATGCTGGAGCATAGAAACCAGAGTGTGTATTAAATAACATTTGGATTTGAAGCTTATTTATCGCCACACCCGTTTGTCGTGACCCGTGGCGCGAGACTTCAATAGTCTGCCGGTGTACGCGAGTGCTCGGAATAAGTCCGTTTTTCCATGTGTCAAAAAATACACACTATTTTACAAATAATGATAATAGATTAATAATCTAACTCAACTTGCCACTCAAGTTCGTAGTTCGAATCCGCCAGTCCGCGCTTTTTGGGATCTTTTAACGGATGACTCGCCCCTTGAGATTGAAGTTTGATGTTATATTATTAATTTTTCATCTTTATGACTTTTTTTTGAAGTCTTTAAAGGCAATGATAATAAATTAATAATCTAGCTCAACTTGTCACTCAAGTTCGTAGTTCGAATCCGCCAGTCCACGCTTTTCGGGATCTTTTAACGGATGACTCGCCCCTCAAGATTGAAGTGTTTTGCTATATTATTAAAATATTTCATTTTTATGACTTTCTTTTTTGGAACTTTTGAATCAATTTATGAATTTGACAATTATATAAAAATTGGAAAGAAAGAACTTAGCTTTTGGAATCTTTTTGGCTCGTCGGCTAAGAATATTTTCTGTAATTGCTCGGCCAAGATGAATAGATGATAGTGGATGGAGTGTATCCACGATGTGCTCTTCTAGGCAATGGATTTGTCAGCTATTGGAAATGGTTGACTAGGTCAACCAATTTTATACCTCTTGGCCGATCAAACCATGTCCACGCCGGCTCGTCCATCATCTGCCCAGCTCACCAGTACCAGAGGAAGTCACACTTTGCATTCACAAGAGGTGAGGCAGCAACGTTGACCACCATAGTTGCTGAAGGAGAACAAACACTGCACAGATCCAATCTACCACGTTAACCAACAACTGAGAATGGTTGTGGATAGCTCGGTATGAAGAGAAAAGGCAATCTAGCGACTGGATAGAGAAGGTGGCTCCAGCTAGCCTCGGATCTGCTTCTCATGAACTCCAAGCCACCATTAATGGCGAACCTTTAACCGGCAGATACCTCAGGCCACGTCAACGGAAAGGTGGACTCGCGAGCGGCGACCAGTGAAGTGGGGGAGCGGCCGGCAAGGTGGATCTACGAGCGGCAACAGTGACGACACCTGTGAAGGCGGTACATGATGACCCGGTGATGACGGAGATTACAGCGGCTGCCTTCCGATGTCACCCTTCGAACAGATTTAGCAAACGGATGACAAGTGAGGCCTGGAGGGGTGATGATGTAGGGAGCGGCCAGTGAACCCCAACTAGTGCAGCGAGCTGGAGCAGATGGCGTACGGCGGCATGGACGATGGACGACGGCTACGTAAATCGTTACAGCGGCTCTAGTTCCAGATCTGGATTCTTCCAAATTTCTTCATTATTGTTGGATTCACCGATTTAGAACAGTTTGTTTTTTGGCCTGATTTTTGGTAAAATAGAATTGTTTTTGGATGTTTTTGGGAGGATTTCTCACTTGATTATGCTCAAACTCTCAATGAAAGCACCATTGATGGATTATAGGGATCCAAACATACATAATTAGGAGAGATTTGAGCAAGAGAGGTGAGGAAGAAGATGAATAGTATTGAATTATGGAATTATGACTTAGGGTTACAAGAAGCTCCAAGAGGAGTATAAATAGGAAAATCCGGGTCTGGGCCTCTAATATGGGCCCGACAGACCCGGTTACATAAATGGACTGATATAAAAAAGGCTAATCTAGTGGATACAATTATACAAATACAAATCGGACAGTACAATAATATAAATGATATCGGTGAAGCGTGTGTGGGCCACTGTCCGGGCCCAATAGTCGTGATACCCGGGAGTCTGAGTCTATATACTCTATTACCATGCCAGCAAAAAGTCCGAAATGGTGTCAAGTAACGGGGCATATTGTGCCACCGAAACCTTAAGTGGCGCAAGAGGAATTCCAAGGTATTTGACCGGAAAGGTTCCTTGCCCAAAGTCAACAATATCTAGAATATTTTGAAGATCAAATTCATTTACGCCACCCACAAAAATATTTGATTTGTTATAATTCACCCTTAGGCCCGATGCGTCCCCAAAATCTTGTAGGGCCTTAACAAGTATTTCAATGGAAAACTTATCCCCCCTAGAAAATAACATTAGGTCATCCGCGTAGGCCAAGTGTGAAATATTCAGTGGCGCACATTTCGGGTGAAATTTAAAATTCGGTTCCTTGGTTCTCAAATTGAGTAACCGGGAAAAATATTCGAGGCAAAGGACAAACAAAAGCGGGGACATAGGGTCACCTTGACGAATGCCCCTTTTCCCTTCAAAAAATCCATACAATGACCCATTCAAAGAGACAGAGAATGAGGCCGTAGTAACACATTCCATTATCCATCCTACAAATCTCAAAGGGAAGCCCAATCCCTTGAGAACAAAGTCAAGAAACTCCCACGATATGGTATCATAGGCCTTACGCAGATCCACCTTGATCATACATCTCGGTGAGATCCGCTTCCTCGTGTATCCTCTAACAAGTTCCTGGGCAAGGAAAATGTTATCAACCATGAGGCGGCCATCAACAAAGGCACCTTGGGCATGATCAATTAACCCCGGAAGACACGGAATTAACCTAGCCGCAATGACCTTTGTGATGATCTTGTATAAAACATTCGTACATGAGATGGGTCTATAGTCGGATACCTTTGGGGAATGATTCGTTTTTGGGATAAGGGCTATAACAGTGTGGTTAATTTGTTTTAGCAACTTTCCCGAACGAAAAAATTCCCTAACGGCGCGGACTATGTCATTCCCAACCAAATCCCAATTACTCTTGAAAAAAGCCGAGGAGTAGCCATCTGGGCCCGGAGCCTTATCGTTGCCAATATCAAATAAAGCATTTTTAATTTCTAAAGTAGTGACCGGGGCAATAAGGCTGGCGTGGGCACTAGGCTCAATTAGTGCACCCGAAGGTAAAACCAGGGGGTCAAGGGCTTGGCAGTCACTATATGTACCAAAAAGGTCAACAAAGAAATTAACAAATTCATTTCCAACTTGATCCAAAGAGGTAGTAAGCGTACCGTCCTCCAAGGTAAGCGAAGAGATAGTATTCCTTGCCAAATTTCTTTTAACGATTGCATGAAAATATTTGGTGCACTTGTCCGCTTCAAGAATATGCGTAGCCTTGGCCCTTTGTTGGAAGAAAGTTGCCTCGGCCTCACCAAGAAAAATAGCCCTCTTTGAAGCCTCGGACAATTGGGCCTTAATATCTAGATCCCCCGGGTCTAGAAGTGCTAATTTATGCAACCGCTTAAATTCTTCCTTTGCCATCTTAACTTTGTTGGAGATGTGGCCAAATTCCGTGGTATTCAGTAATTTTAGGGGCCTTTTGAGCCCTTTAAGTTTCTTTCCCAATGCAAATTGAGCCGTTCCCACAAAATTCCGGTTCCAAGTTGTAGCTAAAATATTGGGGAAATCCACATGTTTTAGCCACATGTTAAAAAATTTAAACGGTTTATGTCTAGGAGAGGAATTTAGGAGTATAGACACAACGGAAGCCGTATGGTCAAACTCAACCTCCATTTCATGAAAATGGACCCTACAACCGATGCCATTAAGTCCCCACCCATCATTAATTAAAACTCGATCCAATTTAGCCCAAAGTTCACCTCTATTCCAAGTAAAAAACTCCCCCGTGGAGGGCGCGTCTTGGAGGCTATTGGAGAGTTTAAAATCAAAGAGATGTTGCATCACGTACGCCGTGGGGGGGGGGGGGTAGGACCCACCCTTTCATTAGGCGCGGAAATACAATTAAAATCACCACAGACCATCCACGGTTCGACCAAGTGGTCTCCCACCGAGGTCAAGTGTTCCCACAATTCCTTCCTTTCAAGGACCGTGTACAACGGATAAACAAACGTCGTAATAAAAGATGTTTGCGTAATACGACAAGTACATCTAGCATGCAAATATTGCCTATCCTTTTCCAAAAACACGCAATTAATCAAATTAGGGTTCCACATTATAACTATGCGTCCCCCACCAATAAGGTCAAAATTATTTTCAAAAATCCAACCCGGCCATTTATTTAAAACGTAGTTATTAAACGAGGCCACGGTCATTTTAGTTTCTAAAAAACAAACTAAGGAAACATTATTCAATTTAATATAAGACGCAATTAAATTATGTTTAGAGGTTTTGTTTAAACCTCTAACATTCCAAACCAAGAGCTTGGGCATCAAGAAAGGTATGGATCCTCCGTGGTGGGACCTCCACCCTCGGCACCATTCTTTTTTAGCACTCCTCCTCTTCCTTCTAAGAAGCTCTTTGTAGTAGTTGACATTGTTCCTACTACAAGGGTCAAAGAAAGAAAGCACATTAGGAATAAAAACAAGAGGGTCGAAATCATACCCTTCATGGCTACGTTTGACTCCCGGCATCTTCAAGATGTGGCTTTGAGTGAAGTAAATCCCCGGAGCCTCCTCACTAGCAACCAATTTGAGATCCGGCCCCACTTTGACTAGGGCTTCCCCATCCGGAAGTTCATCAATGTCAATGATGGTAGCAAGCGGCCTCCCCCTTTGGTCCATAAAAACCCCGGTGACTATGTTCTTAGGATCCATCTCATAAACACTTCTAACTACAAAGCCCTTCGGTAAATGCTCAAGTGACTCTTTGCCATCCACATCTTTTTTAAACACCATTAGGTTATGATGTTCCTTAGAGAATCGCACATTTGGCTTCGGTTTGACATCCAATGTAGGAGTGATAATCTCCTTGGGAATATTAATTCCAATATTAGGGACTAGCGGTGAGGGAGAACTTTCGTTTGTATTGGAGGTTGAGCCAACTTCCAAATTTATGGGCTTCCTTGTACTCTTGTTCTTTTTTCGGATCACTTCTTGAAAGGGAGGTTCCTCATCCACTACGGCCACCCTTTTTCCTTTGTCCACCATCGGTGCTTTCTTCTTTTCTTGGTCCGCGGCCTTGGGAGGTTCCACTAAGTGGGGGTGAAGCACCTTACAATTGAAAGGGTGGTGACCATAGGCCTTGCATTTATAACAATAATCCGGATAGGTCTCGAAAATAACCTTTTGAGTATACTCCTTTCCCGAAGGGGGAACAATAGGGAAATCAAGCACCAGAGGCTTTGAGACATCAACCTCAACAAGAACTCGAGCATATTTCTTAAATGTCTTCTCTTGAGTAACTTTATCCGTAGTAATAGGAATCCCAACTTGGGAGGCAATCATCCCAATCTCCGTTGCATGCCAAAGCCTTAGTTGTAGGTTGGGAAAATTGACCCAAATTGGAACCTTTAAGAATTCCTCACTTTCAAATGAAAAATCATCGGAAAGCACTTTCAAGAACATAGTTTTACCGTAAAGTGTATAGGGCCCCTCGGTTAGCACCTTTGCCCTATCCTCCTCGGTTTTGAATTTGAATACCACCCAACCCTTGCTATGTGGCTTCACATCAACTTGAACTCCCCATTTTTTAGTCATGTAAAAAATAGCTTTCAATCCCGGAAATCTACCGGAGAAGTGTCCCACCAAACAAAAACCCCATATTTCAATGAGGGTTGGTACCTTGAGATGGGAGAAATCCAATTTCTTTCCGGTAGGAGGAAAGTATTCAAGTTTGAGGCCGTTTGAAGGAGCTCGGTTATCACGGAAAAAGGAAACATATTCTTCTTTGTAGTTCTCAACTTCCTTCACAGATTCTGTGTCTTGGGATCCAAGTGTAATGGAAACTTCAGTCTTCTTTCCATCATTGGGATGGGCAAGTGATAGCTCCCTTGAGACAACAGCATTTATAGAAGTGGAGTCCAACTCCTGACCTGCCCCAGACATGCCTTCTGCCGCGGCCTTGGAGTTTTGTGCCGCGGCCTTATCGCCTAGCCCGCCCATGCCCACGGAAGCCGCAGAAAGAGAAGGTTGTGCCGCGGCCTTGGAGTGAGAAGCGTTGGACGAGACAACCGGAAAAGCCTGAGGTAAAACCTGCAATGAGCTGTGTTTCTTCTTCAGCGTCTCCTCCTCCATAGCTGCTCTTTTGGCCGCAAGAAGCTTAACCTTTTCATCAAACGCTCTATCCTTCATCGGGGGGGTTCTGGTCTGCTTATTCTTCCTTGTCATGGCTAGAGCATGATGAAGAAGATGATGAACAGTAACCTCTTCCAACCAAGGTGCTCAGAAAAAACCAGACTTGGAAAAACGAGACTGCAGACAACAGTACTTCGAAGTAACGTCTAGTTTGGAACTAGCGTTTTACTTGTCCAAAGAACTTGAAACTTGTACTCCTGGGTTCGCCTAGAGTAGGCGACCCCCAATCAAGTCTTCTTTTGCCCAAACAATCGCTGGAGAATGGATCCAAGATCAAATTCGATTTCTGAAGGTGAACAGTAAAAACAACGACTCAGACTTCGGTTTTTTGACCCCAACCCCTTTAAAAATCACCAAGATCACAAATCCAACCTTGGGTTAATGATCTGTGATGAAATCCGAGCTAGGAGGATCAAGAAACAAGAAGTTTGATCAATGGAATCAAGAGCAATCGAAGAGAGGAGTTCAGCGAGATCAATAGAAAAATCCAACCGTTGGGATGTGATTTTCCTAGAGAGAAGGCAGAGGTTTTCCCAACGCCGAACCCCGTAATTTTATATATTCTAAGTTTACTGGAAGTAGTCAAATATGGTTTAGACATCAGATTTGTAATGATTTTATTACATCTAATTAAAGATTTCAAAGAAGAGCTTACCGGAAGACGTTATCAAGGTGCCACACTTAGTTGAGTAAATTGAGTTCAGCTTCTAACAGTGAGAATGGTAGCTTAGGAGAGAAATAAGAACAAATCACATCCATCTAAAATTAGATTCCTACGGTGTAGATTTAGTTTTTAACGGTGGCAAAAAAGAAATTAGGCAGAACTTTGGACAACTAACGACTCTAACTTAACGTTAATGTAACGAACTTTAAAAAGTAAACAATACGGAGTGTTTAATTAATTACTATTAATAGCCCACTATCCACAATAGTGATATGAATTCTAAAAAACACGTGTGAAGCAATATTTTATGCCTTTGTATATTTTAATTGTCCTAATAGTTTAATGCATTATGAATTATTTATTCCAAAGTATGCAAATATATTATTAATCTTGAAGTGAACTCGTATAGCAAAATAATGTATTTTTGTCATTAACTATATTATTGTGCATTTATATATTCTCATTAATTGTATCATTATATATGCACTAGTATTGAAAGATTCTGCACTTTTATCATTAACTTGCATACACTTCAAAGTAAAGACGATTTTAAAAATATTATTGTGTACATTTATCATTTGTATTTGCACATATGATCTTAATCAAAGCATTTGCACGTTAGGGTACGGTTCCGGTGAGAATACTCTTTAACGTGAGAAATGAGAGCGCTCTAAAATGTTGTACTTTATCGTGCACGAATATGCACATTTATTGTTAAAGTAATGCAAAATTCAAATGTGCACATTTACCTTTAAACTTTTGCACAATTCAAATACACATTTTCTAATTTTTTATAAGCACATTTCTGTTTTGCATGATGCACGATGATATTCTCATATGATCCTTATTTTGCATGTTATATATTACTACGTAGCAATTATGTATTAATATATTTTCTTCTTCAGATATGAGAAAATGTAAAGCTTATGCACTTGAGCAACTTTATTGTTCAAGTACAGTGGTGCACTCATATTGCAAAAATTATGCACTTTTATTGCATATCAAAGTGTAATTACATATTTATAAATATATATACCACGTTTTAGAAATATGATTTGTGCACTGTTGTTTTATGCACTATCTATTTTCAACTAAACTATAACGCACTTTAATTTATGCTATTACTACTTTTAGCAATATATTAATTATGTGATTTTGATAACGTCATCAAAGACATCTCATCATCTAGAATCATAATACGTAGTATATTTTATTCTTCACACACACACATATATATACACGATAAAAATGAATATGCAACATTATTGATTAAAAGTGCACTCATATTGTAAAGCGTATGCACCTTTATCACTAACATCATGAATGTGCAATTACGTATAAGTATATCACACTTAGAGAATTACGGAGTATTATTTGTTCATTTTTATTGTTTTGTATGCACATTTATTTCTAATCAAATTGTTCGTTGTTGCACATTTTATACTATTAATATTTTAACAATATATTATGTGATTTAATTAATTTATAAAAACAACTCGTTTCGAGATGAGTCATAATATATTTTCTTCGTCAAATGAAAATGAATATGCAACTTTATCATTCTAATAGTACACTTAAATTGCAAAATTATGCACTTTTATCTTTAACTATAGCTGTGTGCACTTACGTACTCAAAACTAAATATGCACTTTTATTAACATTATTGTGCACTAATATACAAATGTGCAAACTT